CCCTTCCTGCATGAGACAAAACTTTAGAAAAACCAGCTGAACTTCATCTATGATTTTTGAAAACTGGGCCTGTAAAGAAACATAACACTTAAACCGCCTGAGTTTGCCTACCCCTGAGAAAACTGCTGCTATGAACTCTGCTGATCTGAGTAGATCCTTTGCTTTGCTTTTGCTTTTCTCCGAGAGCAGTGTGTCATATGTAAGCGCGTGGTGGGGCAATCACAACATGCTATGCTATTGTCAGAAGAGCCGCTGCCTGTCACCTCTGTACTCGTCTAAATCCAGGAGGGGTTTGTGTTGTCAGTGTTAAAGATGGGAACAATGAGTCCCTCTGTGGGTCGCCTATATTATGTGTTTTCTGTGAAAACAGTCATTTGTGTCTCTTGTGGGACTGTAAGAGGGTTTTTTTTGGTTTGTTTTTGTTTTTTAACTTTTCACCCGCTACATTTTTTTTTTATATAAATTTGACAGTGTGCTTCAGGATTTTTTTTGGTTGTCATTTTTTTTTTGTGAAGGTATGAACTGTATGAATAAATTCATACATTCATTTTCAGTTGAATTCTTTTGTACACAGTGTATTAAATAAATGTTTAAATACTGAGCAAGTGTTGCTGTGTTTTCCCTTGAAGTGTGACTGATGTGAGCAACAAGCAGTTTGAGTGAAATGTGCGTCTGTACTGCACAGACTGATGAACAACACCTTGGGAATATTTGTCAGTTCAGGTGTTTCATTTTAAATCAGGAAAACACATCCTGTTCAGGCAGGTCTATCCTCTGTGCGTGTGGAGACAGCTGACGTCAGATCCGTGTTATCAGGGCAGGGCTGAGTGCATCTGGTGAGTGAAGTGTTACGAGGAGTGGCCTTTAACCCTGCCCTTTAGTGCAAATATTGACCGTGGTGTATAGACCACACAAAGATAGAAACTCATAGGAGTGAAAGGCATTAGAGGGAGCTGAAGTAAGGACACCTCATCACTAAGCTGCTTCCACATCCTGTTGCAAGAAACACAGAAACATTTATTTAGTGTTGTGTCGAGGAACAGAAGATTTCAACAGGAAATTGCAGTCAGGGTAAAAGCAAAGAAGAACACTAAATGAATGACGACCTCTCATGCAAGTGGAGTGTCACATGAAACAAAGCTGCAAAGCAGTAAAGGTGAATCAAAAGCTGAGTGACACTAAATCATAAGAGCAATGCTTTTGAGGACAGCTTTAGCTGATAATCCTAGAAAAGATGTTTGAGACAAAACTGAGGGAAACGAGGTCACAGTTCTCAGGAATGTACAACTTATGAGTATGTGGGAGCTATCATAATTAAAGACAGTTGGTGAATTTGGATTTGCATTAGTGTTTATTTTCTAAACACTAATGCAATGTTGCACTTTCTGAAGTATCTACAGATCTGTATGTTGGGTCTATATTTGGAAATGTGGTCTGTGGGCTCTACTTCCCTTCTTTCACTAAACTCACTTCCATGTATACTTTAATCAAGCCCTCTTTTTGTGTTATGTGACCAGGGTGGCTGTGGCTACAATGTAGCTGCCATCACCAGTGTGTGAATGTGTGGATGACTGGATGTGTAAAGGCCATTTACCCTGCTTACCTGTGCCTGAGGTCCTTGACCTGTTTTTAACTTGCCACCAACCTCACCCAGCTCCAATTCTACTCTGCCTCCAGCATCCTCACTTTTCTCACCCTTTCAACAACTGGTTCTCTTCACCACCCTGTGCAGAGCCCATGTGGCTTAGTTCAGGCCATCTGCCTTGTCAAAGCACTTTCTACACCATGTGTCATTTACAGATTTTCTTTTCTGTGCTTTCTGTCTAACCTTCATACTCTGATGGATGCACCAGAGAACAACTTGGGGTTAGTATCATGCCCGTATTTGGCATGCAGACTGGAGCAGCCAGGGATCGAACCGCCAACCTTCTGATCAGTAGATGATCTGAACTACCACCAGAGGCTGAGAACATAAGCTTGTTTGCTTCTGGATTGGGTGTCACAGGTCACATCAGTGAAGCCAAAGCATAGCTGAAGTTGACATTCCTTTTGTAATTTCATCCCTGTTTTGCAATATTACTTTCCCATCACTACATACAACTCCAACAGTTTACGTTGTACTTACTTTGCAGCCACAGCAAGATTATTATGAACCAACCAATGGATTATTCATTTAACTGCATGCCTTAAAATTGTATGATTTAGCTGATCATTGTTATGATAATATACAAAGCGCAAGATAATCTCTCCCCAAAATGTATTCAGAGGTTGTTTGAAATTCAATAGACATAAGAAAAGAAAAGGATATTTAAAAAAGAGGGAATCTTCTAAATGAGGGAAACATCTGGAATAGTGACGACAATGTGTGTAAAAGTTAAAAAATGATTGTCAATTTTTGAGGCAAATCAATACAAAATGGAGGTATTTTCTCATATATTTCAGTTCTTCTCTCTATTTAATATTTATTCTTAATTAATAATTTTCTTTGGTCTTTGTTTTAGTGCAATCTTGTTAGATTGTTATTGTATGTTCAAAGGATAGTCGTTTGGACCTTTTCAGTCACTGATATGTGTTTTATCCCCTTTTAATTCAGTTCTTTGTTTTTCTTGTTGTCATTTTCAAAAACAAAATAAACAAAAAACAAGAAAATGTTAAAAATGACCAAAAGGGAAAAAAAATAAAATAAACTGTAGAAGACGTGGACAGAGAAATCAAATGGATAAAACCAGAACAAAGGGTTGAGTAGCCACCAAGGCCTTAAAATATCTGGCGTTTAATATTTGGAAGGAATTTATATGTCTTCAGTATTTGTGTTGGGATCTAAGATGTGGAATTCTAACATTGTAGGTTATTTAACCTACAATATAAAAGCCCCTTGAGGTGACTGCTGTCAGTACTATATTAATAAAAATGAATTGAATTTTATGAACTGAATATGTGGAATGTATTCTGTGGAAATAGGCCCTGTTCACTTCTGGCATTACATCTGTCTTTGGTGAGTTGATGCAACTGGAAAGCTCTAAACTAGCATCCATTTCAATACAACAGATATGATGATATGTTCATGGTGGTTTAAATGGCAAACTGAGGATCTGGAGTTTTTAGATACTATGGCAAAAAGGCCATGATGATGATTATGAGGTTCAACTGGTCACTGGTCTTTCTCACGTTGCCGGTTCAGGTCATGGACCTGAGGCACAGGGAAACAAGGAGTTACGGAAAAAGGTCGAATAACACGAAGACCCTCAGAGCGGCCAGAATGAGCCATTGTGTTAGTTCAATGGGTGAACTGGACAATGGAACTGGAGAGCTAAGCTGAGACAGATGCTGCAGGTCACGGTTAGCTGATGGGTCTCAGGTGTACAGGTGAGTTGGCTGAAGGAGCAGAAAAGGAGCACCACACCCAGACAGAAGAACACACACAACAAAGACTGACACAAAGTGCACCAGCAACAAGAGACACCAGGGAAAACGTCAATTTCCTTTTCTTAATCACACCAAAAGTTGATGTACGTTACTAATAAAATCTGTTTGGTCAGTTCCTGCGTCATCTGTTGTTTTACCCCATTACAAAACAAATAAATAACTAAGTGTGTACGTGTACATGTTATCGTGCAATGATTACAATTGTCAGTGCAGCGGGTCAGGGGGTCCTGATTGAATAAAGAGCACATCCTGGTAGAAGAGGATCTTCACAAACCTGGAAACCCGTGAACTGTGTCTATTAATGACTTATGAATGTCATTAGCTTAGATAGAAACCATTTGTTTTAAGCTACACAAAAGCTGCTTGGATAAAAAGTTCCTGTGAGTGGAAAAGTTTTAGTATTCAGTATTTTGACAAAAAACCAAATATGTCTGTTACTGGAATATACAAATGCAAATTCAAATGTTCTCATATTATCTCATATCATATTATGATATGTTAGTGCCCATAAAGAAAAATGTTGCTCAACTCAAATGAATGTATTACTCTACTTCCTGGAACTGAGCAGAGGAGAGCAAGTGTGTGTGGACTGTTAGAAACTGCAGGCAGATCTGTGGTGAAAGGGCTGATTCAATCAGAGAGGTAGAATGGCTGGAGCCCGAACAAAGCTGCTATTGACAGCAGCTAGGTGACCATGAGACCCCCGCTGCAGTGCACAGGCGACGGCTGAGATGAAAACCAGGCAGGATACAAACCTCTGTGCATCGTGAATTAGTTCTCGTCTGCTAACAAGTCCTAGTTTTGAAAAACTAAAGGCTCAGGTCATCATTTTGTTCATGCAAAGCATCATTCATGCTCTGCATGACTATAACAGCAGTGTACTTTGCAGCAAAGAGGATATCAAGTTGCTGCTTTGTGCTCTGAACCAATCACATGCAGACCAATCATCATTCAGTCTCTGATCGCTTTCCTACGTTTAATGCTGACTTGGCCATGGATCGAAGCCAAACAGCCCAACTCATCCTGATCACACCTGTGCAAAATGTGCATCACACTAATTATTGCTGTAGGAAACACTCAATTCAGTTTTTATTTAAATGCACCAAATTACGCCTTTATATTGTAAGGTAAAGACCCCACAACGATAACACAAACCGTGATTTGACAATAACTGAATACTTATATCGTCTAGAAAATTCAGATATTGCTTACTGACAAATATGGCTACATGAATATCTTTTTTAATCTTAATTTGTAAATGGTTTCTCTTATTCCTTTCCAAATTATGATTTAATATTATTTAAAAAGGTGCTGCTCCATCAAGTTCTCTTCTGGTTGACAAGGGTGTGTTGAGTCCCAACATAAAATGTTTAAATCATGATCTTGCAACAGGATGTCTTTGTTCATACACACGGAAAATGCAAATTATCCACTTTCACTATGCAGTTGGTTGGCAAACAAACTTTTGCGTCACTCTGGCATTCCTGCACAGAGAAGTGGGGGAGGGAAGAAGGTGGGCTCTCAGCCAACAGGTACTTAAATACAGGACAGGTGAAGCTAGAGACAGTGCAAGTCCACGATCTGCCCACATTTTCTACCTGACTATTCGGGAACAGGTAAGCTAAAGAACTTGTCGCCATAGCTTTGTACCTTTTTGTGTGTGAATACTCTACTATGTCAAATAATTGCATGTCATACAAAAGTATCTGGATTTCTGTTAAAATAGTCTTCTCTATAAAAGTGTCTCTTCAGTTTTGCTTCCCTTTCTGTTACTGCAAGTTTTAACAGCTCATGTGCTGATCGAAGTGTGAATGCAGTTACTTTAGCAAACAGGCTGATGCTTCAAGTCTAAAACTGGTATGCATTTCTAGCTGGTTTGTGTTTGCTGTTTCAGGAAAACTCTAAAGATGGTTAAATCAGCGCTGTCTGTGCTCTTGGTCCTGGTAGCCATTTCCTCTACCTTTGCTGCAAAATATATCCCCAAGAGTGGGAAGAGGGTCCCACAGACTCTGTCCAGAGGTATTTGAGTCATTTCATGCACGCATCAAGCCCAGTATTACTGAGGTAAAGGACGCACTTATCTCTAATGGTGTCTTTGTCTGTGCAGGATGGGGCGATCAGCTGATATGGGCTCAGACTTATGAGGAGGGTCTTTACTGGTCCAGGTCAAAGTAAGACATAGTTTCAAAATAAAAGTCCAAACTTTGACTTAACTGTAAAATTTGCTGAAGCTTATGATGGGCTGGTTGGTATTTTAGGAACAAGCCCCTGTTGGTCATCTTTCACCTTGAAGACTGCCCACACAGCCAGGGTGAGTAGCTGCTCGTGTTTCACTTATTAAGTTACTCACTGTGTTTGTTCGAGCGAGAAGTCTGTTCTGTTTGAAGACTGAGTGTGTGTTTGTTCATATGTGATGTCACCTTGGTCATCCTGGTGCTCTTCTCTACACACCCGAGTTATAAAACTTAAAGTCAATTTTCTCCCACAGCGCTGAAGAAAGTCTTCTCCGAGGATAACGAGGTCCAAAAAGTCCTTGATGAGGACTTCATCGTCCTTAATCTGGTGGTAGGTTATAACACCTGACAAAATGAAGTATTTTAAAGTCTTTCAGTCTCTATTACATTTTAAGGCACATTTTGTGGTTCAGCACTGGCGCGTAGGTTTACGGTGCCTGTAAAAAAACTGTTCTTTTGCTTCTCCTACAGTATGAAACCACAGACAAACATCTGTCCCCTGATGGCCAGTATGTTCCCAGGCTCCTTTTTGTTGGTAAGAGCTTGAGATTAGGACATATCTTTTATATAGACTGGTAACTACTATTACATCTATCAGTGTGTTTTATTGCACTGAATCCTTTTAATGTTTCTCAAGGAAATGACATTAACTATAATTAGCTGTATTGTATATCAGTTACAACCATGTCTCCAAAATATTGGTGCTGTGGAAAATCCTCGCCCATCCTAACCTGTTGTGTAAATGAATATACTTCAGAGACAACAAATCAAATGTTAAAAATCTGATATTTTATAGTGAAATGTTATGAAATTATAGTTTGATGCACACAACTGGCGTTTTTTCACTTACCCAGCACCAATTTCTCCACAGACCCCTCAATGACAGTGAGGGCTGACATCACTGGTCGCTACGCCAACCGCATGTATGCCTATGAACCAAGTGACATCAAACTCTGTAAGTGCTGCAGCCCATACTTGCTGTGACGCGTACTCCTCACGATGCAGTTTTTGTCTGCTTGCATCCATTTACACTGTGTAATTAAACATTTCCTGTCTCTTCCTCAGTGGTTGGCAACATGCAGAAAGCTAAGAAGCTTCTGAAGTCTGAGCTGTGAGCACCAGGAAGACACACTGATGCTGATCCACAGCTGCTTTCTCCACAGTTTACATATGAGAAACAACGCACTGGAAAAATTCTTCTTTTCACCTTCACTTGAAATGTTTTCTCCCTGATTTCCTTCCTAATGCTTGTTATTATTACTGTACGACAGGAATATTGAGTAAATAAATGAAGCTGTTCTCACTGACAGATACTCTGCCTTCTTATTTGCCAGACTGTGTGGAATCAAATCTTTATGTTTAATCCATGATAATAATCATACTAACAACAAAATAATGAAATGACTGTTAACTTCAGTGCCTGCATCAGGTCTCCACTCATCCAGCTGTTAAATGTTTAACTTTTAAAGGCTGTGTGGGAGGGCTAGAAAAAAGCAGTTTTTACTGCATTCGGCCTGTATTGACCATAATGACCACTTTGTTATATGTATCTATCTCAAAAGGCCAAAAGGTGTTTATTTGTGCGGTCATTTTTCTCTTACACCACTATAGGAGGTTTTTTACAATGTGATGGAAGTGCAGACTTTCACCTTTAATTATAGTAGATCAATAAAAGCGTGGCATTAAAAGTTTAATAGTTACAGACATTTTTGCCCACAATTTTCCCAGCATTTAGTTTGCACACTAACCAGAGTTTAGCGTGTTCAAGTTTATGACAGTGCAATCAGAAAAACACAAAATACAAATATGTACTTCTAGAGACGTGTCAGGAGACAGACTCTTGTCTCTGAAAAGAACACGCAAAGTTCACTTATGAACAACTGATAAGATTGTTGAATCAGACCAAAGTGGTAATATCTGACCATAACACCCAGCACAGAGGCAGCCGTGGCCAAGGAGGCAGAGCATGTCTGCTAACCACAAGCTTGGTAGTATAAACCCCGCCTCCTCCAACCTGCATATCAAACTTTCCTCTGGCAGGATACTGAAGCTAAATGCATCAGTTGGAGTCTGTGAGTGTTAGGTTAAGCACTTGTGAACTGGAAAGTGCTGGTGCTTTCAATCAGTGGATTTGGGGTCAGTTAATGTTTCTGTCACAACTCTGATTCAGTGATGTGCTGGTGACAATCAGCATGCAGAGACTGGCATGATTTGCCTACTCTGTTTGATAACAAGAAATAATCATATAATGACGCCTGATCTGCAATCTGTCAGCACGATGTCTGTCAGTCAGACAGTTTCAGGTAAGGAATCGACTCAAGAAGACTGTGTATGCAGTAAAGTTGAATTCTGGGTGGGCGGGTCCACACTGCCAGCACTGAAAGCTTTTTTGTGTTGCTGGGTAACCCAGTCTCAAGTCTTTTCAATTACAAAGAACCGGCAGATGTTTTGCATATTTGAAAGTAAGTGTGTGTATGTGTGTGCGCTGCGTACGGCTCAACAGAGTCAATCAGGCTTATCATGTTTTTTGTTAAGTCTGATTTTGTTCCTTCCTGACCTCTTATAGGAGGAAGCTGACCCAGAGGGTTACCCCCCCATAACAAAAAACAAACAAAAAACACTCCCAGGCCCTGAGGAGGTGCCACTTTTTTTAGGGATTTAATGACTCGTGGGCTTGGTTAAGTTGAAGGAGCAAACCATGCCACTCCTAATTTAACTAGACCCAGACAGGCAAAGGAGGAATTAGAGTCATTTAATATTCTGATCAGGTTGTGGTTGGTGCTCGGACAAAGAATTAATATGTCAGTCAATGAATGAATGAAAGAAGCAAAACAATTGCTATGAAGCTATGTTTGTACGTTTGTTTGACCAGGTGAGTTTGTTGTAGAGTTACAGACTATAAAGGAGATAAATATGTCTCCTAGCAGGCAGATGTGAGGTATGTATTCAAATATGAAAAGAATCTATTAGTTTGAATGTAAGTGCTGAAACAGACTATATTTATGACAATTTAAAAGTCATGTTTATAATGCCTACAACATGAATAAATGTACAATAATTGTCCCTGTAAAATGAAAGTTAAAGTTAGCCATGATTCCCTGTGATTGTCCTAGTTTGGACTGCACATACTGTCAAATGCAGCTTCATCAGTTCATCATCTGATGTGGGCGGAAAAGGTGGGCGGAGAGAGATTGAAGCCCCCCCCCGGGTTTCTCTTGTCATCACAACAAGAAAGGGTAAGAGAAGAGCTTAGAGAAGGTCTTCAGTGCTATAACAGAGCTTTTCCATTTTTTGCTAATAGTAAATCAAAAGACAAGTTTAATCAATATGTTAAATGAAAATATCTTTTCTAATGTCTACATTTCATACATTTTATGTATCAGACACAGAAAGCATGTGATGAAGACACTGATTCTTTTTATTAGATTAGTATCATAGTGTGGTTTCCAGTACAAAGGCTCAGAGGAACTGCTTACAGATAGTTGCAGTTTTTTATACAGTAGCCCACATTTTAATGGACAGAGTCATGCAAAAGGGCAAATCCACAGCAAACAGAGAAAAACTCATAAACACACACTTACTTTCAAATATGCGAAACATCTGCAGGTTACAAACAAAGCCGCTCGTCACACATTCACATTTCTACACATGGTAAAACATCAGAATCTGTAATGTCAGTGTGCAGAGAAGTGGGTGATATTATTGCTTCCAGTGGAATCGACTGTTTTTATAAAAGAAACAAAATGACAAAAAAGTGTTCAGAGTTAACTCTCAGCCAGGGTGTGTAAATACTTCTGGATTATATAGCAGATCAGCATTCCTTCTTTTTATTTCACAGTGTACTAACTGTATCTGTATTTTGCAGGAATGTCATGCTGAAGGCAGCATGTTCGCCGCTCCTCACACATAACTTAGCTCTTGAAAACGAAACACATCAGGTTTACTGCAGTGATCAGTCAAAATGCACAAGTCAGAACGTCCATAGAGGTCGTTTGGGGATGAGGTGATTGGATGTTGGTCAGTGGAGCTTTGGCTGTCTCACAGGAAAGCACTAGGGTTGGCTCGTGGGTCCTTCTGGTTCCTGTAGCAATATGTGAGCCACACTCCCAAGATCTGACACAAACACACAGCACTAAGTTAAAAGTTTCCTTATGTCAGTCAATACTATGTAATGAATTGTTTCAAACACACTACGTCATGAGAATGATTTTAAATCCACAATTATTTATGTAGAAATGTTGCCATGTTTTCTGGACAAACTCACTGAAGGAGGTCTGAGTCAAAGTTGGTCTGACAATCGAAATGCTGTCAGGCTTCCATCCATGTGACCTTATTCATTAATTATTAGCGTGAATGCTGATTACACAGTATTGTTAGCCTAATCTTTATTATTATATTTTAGTATTATTTTATATTCTGTACATTTTTTGTACTCTACTTCAACACCGTTCTTCATCTTAGAAAAAACATTAACCAAGTCATTATTTTGTCATTTCAATTATTTTCTTATTTGTTCAAATGTTTTAAATACTTTCCCGTCACTAATGTACAAACAGCTGTTTTCCCTTCCATGCTGAAAATGAATCCTCTGTCTTTGTTGGTCCAAACAAGGGAAACAGTGAAGCCCATATTAAACGTTTGCTATGTAATGATATCACCTGCGAAAAAGCCTCCTCCATGTTCCTCTTTTACAAACAAATCCTTCTGAATTCCCTTTTCTGTCTAATGACTCATTAGTAGTTAACAGAGCTGACTGTTTGTCAGCCTGGCTACAGTGAACAGAAACCTGGGGTTGTTCTTATTTCCTTTAATCACTGATTGAAGAAAATAAGCTTTATAGAGAGCTCTTTTAAAATAGAGCAACAAACTATTTCTCGAGGCTAAATGATGATCTTCTAAAGTAGCGACACGCCATTTCCTCTCCAGCTTACGAGTCATCTGCTTTAGGGTCTGGGTTTGAGAGTTTTACACTAACGAGTTGTACGCAGTGAGGTTGGGCGATACGTAAAAATCTTCCAACCGATAATCATCAGTCCAATAACCGACGATATCTTTGCGCAGGTGCAGAATTTCTGATGGGTGGAGCAATGCACGGACTGATTTGCACATTTAGAATTTATAAGTTTTGTTTGAGGGAATATTTTACCTTCTTTTCTTGTTTGTTTCAGTAGCTACTTTTGGATTTTTTTCAAATGTATTTATTTGAGATGCGCTAAATTACAAAGAACACTTAACTTTACGATGGAGATTTTTTTAATGTTTGCTGGAAGAGACATTTTGATTTTTAACGTAGTTTTTGTTTGAGCTTGCATTTATTGTTTGGGTGAGTGTGTGCGACGGATAAACACTGGAACAGCTTGTAAACACGGTTATAGTGGAAAAAGAAGCCACTTTCTCTTTGTTTCCCATTTAAATCAAATGTTTTTATTTTTTCTGAACATGGGCTTCTGCCTTGCTTTCTGTTATGAGTTTGAATAAATGAATCGCTACATTTGGGAGCACTCTGAGGTCGGTGCATTTGCTCACAGCTGGAAGACGGTGCCGTCAAAACAGCCCAATTATTTTTCCATTGGCTGCTTCTCTTAGCTTCAGTCAACATTATTAGCAAACTTACTCGTGGGCAAATAAATGAATAAATCGCTCTTGTAAAAACGATTGGTGAAAGGCTCAGCCTACGTCGATAGTCGATATATTCGTCCAGTCGCCCAACCTTAAAGATAGGAATCACCATACAGAAAAATATGACTATTGTGGAAAAGATTCAATCACAGAAAATGAAATATGAAGCTGAAAGAAGATGACAGACTGAAACACTTAGTAAAATGTAACTAAAACAGGATCTTATTGATATACTAGAGAAAGTCCAGAAGTGGAAGCCCAAATGACATTTTCTACAACAGACTAACTTTTAATATAATTTGAGTTTCTGGTTTGTATTCCATACAAGTTGGTGGTGGTACCATGGGGCACATGTAGGCAGCCTGCTGTAGGCACTGTTACCGGTCTGAAATATCAGCACGCTCTCATACCAACATACCGACGCCATGTGACAAATCGGCGGTATGTTACGCGTTGGGAGGTATGAGAGCCGTTTGGAATGAATCTATACATATAAATGTGTTTTATGTTCTGATCATGAATCACTTTGGAAAACACCATCTGATAGGGCCAACGTTATGGTTAAGGTAATGGTTAAGGTAATGGTTAAGGTTAGGGTTAAGGTAATGGTTAAGGTAATGGTTAAGGTTAGGGTTAAGGTAATGGTTAAGGTAATGGTTAAGGTTAGGGTTAAGGTAATGGTTAAGGTTAGGGTTGGAATGGACGGCTGGAGCTTCTGCTCTGAGCGTGTGTTATTGCCACGACCGGCATTCTATTGGATTCAATTGAGATTCCGAAGCGTCTCATAAGGACGCGGAATGGTACCTTTCATCTTGGGACGTGACAAATCGTCGGTATGTTACTGAAACACAGGGCATGTCTGGGCTGTAATGGCTCACCTCAGTGAAGCTGAAAAAGAGGCCAATTCCTCCTACAAATCGGAGAATATCTCCAGCATGTTCCTTAATCTGGTCTGCACAAGGCGAACAGAAGCTGTTGGGGAAACAAGCCTGCAAGAGACACAGCACATGTTTAAAAATCGCACCAATGCTTCTGACAGTAGAGTCATTATTTCAAATTAACTTTACTGCTGTTACTTTTCAAACAAGACCAAGGGAGCTCACTCTCAACCAGTGATGGGAATAACGGCGTTACAAGTAACGGCGTTGCTAACGGCGTTACTTTTTTCAGTAATGAGTAATCTAACTAATTACTATTCCTATCATTACAACGCCGTTACCGTTACTAACAAGAAAATGTGGTGCGCTCGCGTTACCATTTTTCAACAAACAGATGATTGAAGCTGTGTTCAGGTTACCGCTTGCACGGAAGTAGCTGTAAGTAATCTGGGCGCTACAGCTTTAAGCAGCTACGCGCTCCCGTGGACGGTACAACACCTGGAGCTAATGGGGCAAAACAATCGCATTATCCACAACTGTTCCTTGGCTCTTGGACAACTTTGATAATTCTTTTCACTCCTCTGTCTGAAACCTTGCAAGGAGCAAGGTTGTGGTCATTGTCAGTTTATCATAAAACGATGTTCTTTCCACTTCTGGATTATGGTCCCAATGGTGCTCACTGGGATCTTCAGTAATATTCCTCTGAGCCAGTGCCAGCAACATTTTTGCAACAATAAAGTTCCAAGGGTCTTGTGAGAGCTCACTGGTTTTACCCATCATGTTTTTTGAGACCCCTTTAAATCGACCATCAGCTGGGCCTGAACCCTATTTGCACCTCCCTTTCTTCATTTTTTCAACAAAGTTTTTTATTATCACACATAATGTAATCACACAACTTATGTGTCTATGGTTTGATTTCATTGCATGTGTGAAGTGGGTGGGTTGTTATCAACACATGGTGAGAATTTCTTTCAACCTAAACTTTAGAAATATATTTACTTGAAAATTTGTGATGTGTTCAATTTTATTGTACATTAAAAAAACAGAACCATCATCAGCCTCTTCGCACATACTGAGATATGTGACATGTAATGGGGAACAGGAAACACTTGGAAAAGACTGGATCCAAACTCACAGCATCACACATGCTGTTAGGGTCGACATGTTTGAAGCCACAGCAGTTGAGGCTCTTCTCCACATCTCTCTGGGTGCTCTCAGAGTTGTTCCAGCCCACCTCCAGCAGGTGATCCTTGAGCACAGCGTTAGAAGGAACATGAAGCATTACATCTGTCATCATCTGTCAGTATTTTCACATTAAGAGGTTCTGCTTAAATGACTTATTTGAGCACATAGTCTGTGCAGCCTGACAAGCTTAGAGTTTTAGGTTCACTTTTATATTTAAGCTTTTATTTTTTTTATTTATCAGTAATAATCCTTATAGTATCTCCACTTATATTAAAATGTAGTGGCCAAAAAATGTCATGCTGAAACAAAACTTCCAGAGAAAAAAGATACGACCTTCATTTAAGCTGTGCGTTAGCTACTTTTGGAGAGGCAGGTTTTAGGTAAAATCTACTTTCACTTTTTATGTGTTATTTATTTTATTTACTGATAATATCTATAAAATATGATTCCCATTGAAGTAATATTATTAGTGTTTACTAACCACAATTTACACTTATTTAAATTTCTTTTATATAATATAATTTGATTTCTTCCTCCTATTACACACACTTTCTTTCTTTTTTGGATGCGTTCCCATTCAAACGAATAGGCGAAAATTCTGTAGGTTTTTTAGGAATTTTGCAAAAACTGTGCAACAAATTGCTACCAAACGTCACAGCACTCTATTCCCAAACAAGCTGCACAAAACGATATATCATATGTGGGGTTTTCACAAAGCTGCAAGGAGAGTTTTGTCTCAAACTATCAGGTGGAAGAACGAGACGGTACTGTCTGACACTGCTGCCTGCTTGTTCAAGGCCTCCACCTTCCCTGCATCCACCTGTATGGATGTTTGCTCAACAGCTCTGATGAAACTTTTTAAAATGTGAGTTGTCTAACTGTACTGGATATAAAGTCAAGTAATAACAAATTAATGTGCAACAGAGAGCAAGCTGCATAGTTATCATTTGTGCTGCTCGGCACTCTGTGGAGAAACCAAAGCTCGTACCTGTTGCTCTCTGTTGACAGCCAGACAAGCGCTGGAAACAGAAAACTGTACAATAAATACCATGAACAGGATGATCATGTACTGAGCTTCACTGTCAAAGAACAACAACAGTGGACACATTGCAGACATTGGACATGCATAATACTGCTGATAGTCAGTGTTACTGAAGCACTACATAAGCAGTTGGAAGAGCTCATTTATAGAAACATATCTGCTAATAGTAAGAAAATAGAGTCTGTGTGCAAGGTTGTCTGTGAAATACAGTCCAGCTCGGTATCTTCTTCCACATAAATACATTAATATGTAATGAATTTTCCAAAACAGTAATGTTAAGACAGCATATTGTAGGAGATAAACAACAGTGTGCTGGTCAGAAACAGGACAAAGATGCTCGGCACCAACAAAGACAGCTCTAAACATTTTAACTGTAAATGTTCTTTTCTTTTATTCTGGGAAGTTCTGGTCACTTAGCAACTAATTAAACATCTGAATCTAAATAATACAGAATTATTTTTAGATTTTTTAAATTAGCACAAATTCAATGATACCACAAAACAACGACCACAGAAGACAAACCAACAATATTATTATACACAGTTTCTATTTTGTCGTTGTTTCTTTATGCACCCCACCAACATGCCCCCGACCAGGTTCTGCTGGAGGTCTCCTGTCACCAAGAGCTTGGTTAAACGGGATTGTTTGATTGTTGGGGTCCTCCCTTTATTGTAGGTCTTTAAAAGGGCTGGGCCATATTATACCGTTCACGGTAATACCGGTATAATGTTAGGCAACGATAGGAAAATGAAATATCGCGATAGAATGGGAGTAAAACGCGCATGCGCAGTGCCTTTGTTTTCATACGCACATGGCCGATTGTTGAGTGAAACAGATGAACCAGAATTGGTTTGTAAAAATGGTGCAACTTCAGTGATGTGGAACTGGTTTGGTGTTTGTCCGTCAGATACACGACAAAGCACATTTTTTTGCAGAACATGCAAGCGGCCGTCGTTATTTGTCGGACTAAGATGCTCTTAAATCTGGGAGTAATCTGGGTCCTAAACTCCGTATGTTTCAGGTCAAACGAACACTGCAGCATCACTTAGAGTTAAAAACTGTCTAAATTCTTTCATCTTTAATAAAACGATCAGCATTGCTGCTTTACCAGGTGTAACTATGAAGTTTAACTTCCAGGCATCCATGAAAACTAAAGTTATTACATTTAACGGAGTTAGAAGTTAGCAGGAAGCTAGCAGAAGTTAGCTCGCTAGTTTCGCTAGTTACCTAAGCATGATATTGCATGTTCTGACTGAGAGATTTCTGAAAAAATTCAAACGTACAGCTCTGCTATCACTTCCAACATAAATGAAGACAGGAAACTAAACAGCAGTGACGTTTGTAGGGTTACTTAAGTTGGGCTAGCTGGTATATAATGATGTGCTACGTGATCGCTAGCGGCACAGCTATGTTAGCATAACATAAGCAGTGAAGCTGGAGGACGAACACTAACACTTTTCCATTTATAAAAGTTAACGTGAAGGTTCCTCATGGTTAGAGACAAATGCAATCGCATGGCAGGATGTTGTAAACGGACCAAACTTCAGTCAGGAGAACAACTGAGATAATCCATCCACAGTACAAGGTTAGTCATTAATATACTGCAACAACATGGGAATAGAGCAGCTGCCAGAGAATTCAATATTAATGAATCAATGGTACAGAAGTGGAGGAAGCAAGAAGAATGAGTTTAATAAAGTTTGATTTATCTGACTGCTTTGTTTCGCTTAATGTGCCTTATAATCCCGTGCACCTTATGGTCCGAAAAATGCGTCCTGCACACTGCAGTTTAATGTTGCAAAGCACCTCTTTTTAACTTCAGTGGATATTATACATGGTTATGCTCAGGATATGTCAGCCCATTTCTACTGGAAATGCCTTTTGGTTAAACTTTCAGCAAGGAATTTGCATTTGCACTGTTACATTTTTATAAAGCTTTAATGTACATAAAAACCAGCTTCTTGTTTAAGTGAAAATAAATGGAAGGTTGTCTTTTTGCACTAGTAATGTTGTGGAGTTGTATTTTGTCTCGCATCAATTATATCGGCGGTTATATCGTTATCGCAAATTTTCAAATATATATCGTGATAAATATTTTTGGCCATATCGCCCTGCTCTAGTCTTTACCTTACATTATCTTCAAGCATCTTGAGATGACTGTTGCCGTGAACTGGCACTACTGGAACTATATATGTAGAAAAAGGATTGAATTTGTATTACTGAATGACATTTTATATAAGTTGTGAATGAAAGTAGAGAAAGAACAGTCATAGGATGAGTTTGTGAAGGATACAAAGAAGAGCAGGACTTGGTGATGCTTCATTGCCCCAATGAGGCCAGCCAGAGCCACAAAGAAGAGAAAGACACCCACACCAATGATGCCTCCCACCACCTGGAAACTGGAGACCAGACCAAACCACTTTCCCCATGCTGCGATGCCAATCATCAGGAGACTGACCATCTGCAGGACAGACATACTGGCTGAGTGTGGAAATGACACTTTGTGCAAAAAGTTAAACATCATTTTTTATTCTATCAGCTGGCCAGGGCTGTTCTGTAAGGAGTTTGCATGTTCTCCCCATGTCTACATGGTTTCTTTACATGCTTCCTCCCACAGTCCAAAAACATGCAGTTACACAGGTTTGGTTAATTGCTGATTCTAAATTGCCCATAGATGTGAATGTGAGGTTGAATGGTGTTAGCTCTGCTACAGACTGGCAATCTGCAGACTGGGTGCACCCTGCACTATGGCAGCTGTGATAGGTCTTATTTGGATAAGTGGATTGAATATAGCTACTTCCACATCTGCTAAATTGAACATGTGAAATCAACTGCAGCAGGCAGCTTAAAAAACAAAAATCAGCCATATAAGTATCCACACTATCACACGTGGGTTAATTATTGAAATTCTGCTTTAGGTTATAAGAGAACTTTATTGTATTGTCCAGCATGTGCTGTCTGCATTGACTTTGACCACAAACAATCTGAGTGGCTCATGAACCAGCAGCCAAGGAATCTTTGTCTGAAGTGGTGACACACGGTGTCAGCAGTGTAGCATAAATCAAGTTCAGAATAGTTTAAATGTGCGTCTTCCTTCATCACATGCACATGGTAACTAATTTTAAAAAGTAAAAATATTCAGTCAGTAGCATAGAACGATTTATGTGGATGAGGAAAAATATCAATCCTTGATGTGATTGTGTGAGCAAATCCAGTAGCATTGTTATGTTTTAGGGACATTTTGCTGGGATGACTTGACTTGTCATCGTACAAGAAGTTAGGGGGCTAGAATCAGCATATTATTATAAAATTATAAAACTGAATTTTCTCTGATAGAGTGATTGGAACAGATACTTCTTTGTCACAAAAAACATTCACAAATTTTGCGCTGCTGGATGGCTTTAAGCACTAGTTGTGGGAATGGATACATGTTGCTTCTTTATTACTTTAAAAAAAGAGTGATAATAAGAGCATTTTCGTCTTCTTTATTAAATGTGAGCTGAACTGCATGTGCATATCTTATCCTCTCGACTTTTACATGATAAGCAACAATTTTGTACTACACTTACATAAAGAGAGATTAAACAAGAAGCAAAGGCCAACATGTCAGACTGATACGATGATATAATACGAAAGTTGCAGTGTCAGATACGGCAGATTACCTCACTGTGAAATCATTAGTACCTCCTGCACCCTTACAGAACCAAGGGTGCTATGGAGCGCCTTCTTTAAAGGACTGCAAGGCTCCAGGTCCAGTGTGTAGCTAAGCGTCAGATACACACCTTAATCCAAAGCAGACATGATAAGAGCTATCAAAGCCTGCAGGAAAGGCTTCCACAGTAAGGGCGACCTCTAAAGTGACAACCCCCCGCCCCAAAAAACAAGCGCACAGTTAAAGGTGGAAACTGTAGATCCTCCCATTTTAAAAAGAAAATCGGGCGCTTTTCTAAACTCCTCGTCTCTTATTCGGTTCATCCGATGGATGGAGCGGCCACCTGATCCTACCTACCACAGTGAATAATTGATTAGAGCAGCGTCTGACCTCATCAGTGGATTTTGTAAAAGTGGACGTGTCCTACACTCCATTTACACACTCTGAGGGTGATAAAATGCTATCTGTATTGATGAACACGGCACTTTAATTATCCATATGGTAAGCTGTGATGTGGATACTCACAACATAGAGGATGTTGAGCGCACACAGGGAGTGCTTGGAGCAGGTAAATCCAGCGCAGCCCATGTTCACCAGCAAATAAACACAATAAATCCTTGAAACTGATGTTTACATAAATATCTCGACACAAGAAATAAAACCCGGACAAAGACCCACTGAGCTACTTATTCCGCTAGTCCGCAGCAATAGATGATCGGTCCAACCTGCGAGGAAAAAAGAGGCTTACAACCAACACCTGAGTGCAGAGGAAGTCACATATCGACCCTTCAAAATAAAGTCACATAAACACCGACCGTGAGATAGATAGACATCGGTATTTTGAGGGAAATTGGGATGCAGCCTACAATCTAACTTCTTCTTCACCACAGCGGATCATCTACCTTCATCTGAAAATGTCCCCAGCATCCTCCTCCGTCACACCAACCCTCTGCATCTTCTCCTTCACTACATCCACCAATCATCTCTGTGGTTCTCCTCTTTGCCTCCTGCCTTCAGTGTTACACCATGACATATATTTGCACACATATTTGTGTCCTTTTGTATTATATTTATACCTGTATCTCTATATGTATCTATACCTATATTTATCTTAATATTTATCTATCTATGCCTCTGTTTCAACACGTTTGTTGTATGCATGCTCTGGTATTAATAAAGTCTCTTTGATTCTCTGATTCTGATTTTCTTCAGTGCACATTCATCAGGTCCTTAAAGTACTCCTTCCATCTTCTCAACACAGTCTTCACTTCACAGTTGGTACAGTTCAATCTGTCTTAACCTGCTGCATCCTTTACAACTCGAGCTCTCTCCCTAACCAATGGGGAGCCAAATCCTTATCTCTTTTCTCAGTGTCCAGCCTCACCTACAAAACACTGTAAACCTTTGATGGACGCCTGAAGTATCTTCATCTGGGGTATAAACATCATGTAACAACGTCTCTAGTTACAATCAGTTGTGTGTTAATCGTATAATAAGGATGCACGTGGTCTGTTAATTCCAGGCTGAAATGCCATGCTTTTATTATGAAGGATTAAAATTCCAGTTTGCGTGTAGTCTTATGTTTTTTTTTTTAAACTTGACTCCTAGTCCACATGTGACTCAGTAAGGGACGGGGGGCAGGATATCCGATCCACCGATTGGCTAAAGAGAAGTCCTGCAATTTCCTCTCAAAATATTCCAGAAAGATTGTTGTCAGGAGCCATTTAGCTTCATAATTCACCAACGACGCTTCGCTTGAAAACAGCACAAGCGTTGCTGGGTCACACTGAGCCGTCAAATGCACGCACGCCAAACACACACAGCGTTCCGGCAGGACAACAACGGGAGAAAGTGAAAATACATACGAGTAATGCCAGTAACAAGATCATCTGCTGACCGGCGAGCAGCAGCTGACAAACTGTCCTATTAGATATTATAAGACTAAAGTCAGATCTCATCACCTCAGAATGTAACACTCGCAGACACATGAGGTTCCGCACTTCTTCTGCGCAGGTGGCCCGAGCAGCCACTCAGCGATCATAAACTTATATGACCATCAGATGGCGCTGCAGGACCAGTCAAACTCAAATGACTCGCTGAAAACCTCACCGGGCAAGTACATCGTGATAGCGCCGGTGTCGTGCCAAAAAGTGATCGTCTGCTCGGATTTAAACTGCTATACATAACTTGTTGGTCTATAATATGTGAAACATATGTCAAATGTGTCCCTCGTGAATGAAAAAGTCATCGTGAGCCACAAACAACATCCCTGTAACAGCGTAGAAGCCGTCGGTTTTGGGGAGTGACTTTTATATGTCCTCTATTTATGCAGTTAAAAAAGCTTGATGACATTAAAAATGTGTTTTTTAGAGTAATCTGGCCAAGAAGACAGCAAATATTGCAAGAAATCTAACAATAGTTCTGTAAACATGTTTTAAGTGGACAAAAAGGATGGATTTGGTTGTAATGTAAGTACAATAAGGCAGAGTTGTAAAGATAGTTGAAAAAGATGTAATTTTAACATTTTATATGTAACCCCTTTGTAAAGCCTGTTGACCAAAGTCTATTTGGGGTTCAGTATCTGAGGCAGTCAGCGATTAAACCACAGATTAGCAGATGACTATGCCTGCACTACCTCCTGAGCCACCCCGTGGGTACACAGTGGGTGTAAAGGGACAGACACAGTCAACAATAATACTCAAATATACTGTGGCATTTAAACAATGCCTAGTTTGTACTAAGGGCCACCCACACCATTACACCACCAACACAAGCGTGAACCATTGATTAAAGGGAGGATGTATCCTCTACTTTCATATTGTTTAATGCCAAATTCTGACCCAACCATCCAAATAGTGCAGCAGAACCAGCAACATTGTTCTACTGTCTATTTTTCTTAGTTTTTCTTTTCCCCCACCTTTCAGATGTTGGCCTTTAAGCCCAGAAATCCTTTTGTTTCCCTCTTTGTTTTATGTTTTTAAGATAAAATCATCCTTAAGAAGCATGATATTAAATAAATTCTTACAGAATGGTGGTGACAAGTGAAAATGTCTCTGTTAAATCCACTCTTAAAGGATTGCAGTTACAATGTGTAGAGGGAAAGCAGTATACACGCAGGACGGAGTGCATTGCCAAAAACCAAAGACAGTTATGCTCACTTGCTACTAAATGTCCTGAAATATGTCATATGTACAGAGGTCATGATAACATTCCTAAACACTCATACTCCTTTGGGTGGCGCTCTCACTTGATGTTGGCTTTTTCTGGTATCACTTGCTGTTTCTGTTACAACACAGAGTGGTGTTATTAGCTGTGTCCAGGGGCTGCATCCTTCTTCTTTTTTTAAAACTTTAACAAAAGAACAAAGTACAAGAGCGGTAGCTACCTTAGCAGAACAAAGATGACATAAAACATATACTGTAGAAAATCGTTTCAGAACTTGAGAACAGAAGAAGGAAATCTAGATGTGTCAGGGAGGCAAGAAAGAAAATTTAAAAAGCAACCACAATTTATTTTCTTCTTCTTCTTCCTTTTGTTTTAAGCAGTTTTGAATATTTTATTGAGAGAATAACAATAATGTTCTAACTGCTTTATGATTAGAGGAAAGTCTGATAATGTCATAAGTGATAGTTATGGAATTCCATCATGAAAGTAAGGAAGTGCGGTTTTCTGTTCAGAACATTTGTGAATATGACATTTGGCCCATAAAAGAATTCAATTAATTACAAATATAGAAGAGTTTATGTTGTTATCCTGATGTAGGATAAGACATCTTTCCAAAAAACCCTGAAAATCCCCTTTGATAGTGTCTCTTACATAAAAAGAGACATTTTGCCAAAAATGTCAAGAGTGGGAGCCCACTCTACCTACTCACACTAGGCATAGCTGTCCAGTGCTGAAGCAAGTTAGTTCTAGGGTTAAAGAACCCTAATTTATTGTGCCGCAAATGTTTCCCTCTGGCTTCTGTATGAGCTTCCGTTTAGTTAGCACACTGAGATTGGTTTTCTGCCATTGCACATGTGCTCCAAATCCAAACTACTCATTGCTGGAAAACTTGTGTCTTGCCTGACAAAGTGGAATAGACCAAAATATCCTCTAAAGCCAGACATCACATCGTGATCCAAGGAACATCAGGAACAAATGAGAAACAAAGTAATTGAGATCGCTCAGTCTGGAAAAGGTTAGAAGGCCATTATCCACAAATAGTGAAAACAAGGAACAGTGGTGAACATTCCCAGGAGTAACCGGCTGACCAAAATTACCCCAAGAGTGCAGCGACGACTCATCAAAGACCCCAGAACAACATCCAGAACTGCAGGCCTCATCTGCCTCAGTTAAGGTCAGTGTTCATGACGCGGTCGGAAGTTGAACCCACGACAAAGGCATGATTCTTACACACACACACACACACACACACACACACACACACACACACACACACACACACACACACACACACGATTTAAAAGGATACAGTTAAATAGGTTATTTGGTTGTTAATTCTGTTTACAATCACTCTTTGGGTAGCTGACAAAATGAAGCATGCTCTGAGAAATGCCTTCAGAGTCATCATCTAAATCTATTATGTTTAGCCAGTAGGTTAGATTAAAGGTAAATATTACATTTACAAACTAAGCTCTGGTGTCAGAAATTCAACTGTCAAATGAATAAGAGTCAGTAAGTATTACATACCTTTGTCCCGTCTTATTTTTTCTATGTCCGATTTCCTTTTTTCTTGAGCACCACTCCTAAATATCATTTTAGAAGCCATTTGTGCAACAATCAAAATTCTGTACTGAAATGTAATGTTATGATGTTACAATCTTGCCTAACCATGTCGATGCTGGTTCTAATCAAATGTTAGTGTCTCAAAGTGAAAAAGCACTCTCAGGATTTAAAATCTCCTTATGTGAACTACAGACAGATTTATCTGGTGCTGATAGGCTAAATCAACATTGTGTGAACTAACATGTAACGGCTCTACATTTATATTTAACATTTCTATAACTGCAGTGTGCGCAGCAAGCAACACAGAAAGTCATGTGGAGCTAACTACAATAAACGTGTTAGATACTGTGACTTGAGGCTGGAGTAGAGGTTCACCTTCTTTAAAAAAAATATTATTATCATTATTTATTTATTTTATTAAGTTTGAAGTTATTACAAACACAACATACATGACTGGGGGATAAGAAAGTAAGACAGGAGAAGTTCAAGAAAAACAGAGGGGAAGAGGGGCAGTGAGAAAAGACACTAAAGAGACACTAGAGGTTGACCTTCCAGCAGGACACTGACCCTAAACATACAGTCACAACTACACTGGAATTGTTTAGATTAAAGCATATTCATGTGTTAGAATGATGTATTCAAAGTCCAAAGCAAAGAAATAAAGAACTCTGTAGTGCTCTTGTGACACGGGGGCGAAAAATGTAGGAGTTTGAAACTCACGTTAAAGTCTTCTTCTTACCGTTGCTGATTATCTCCCTTTAGCAGCAACTCTGTGTCTATTTTATGCCTGCTGGCTACAGCGGAAATATGGCACCATTCCAACTTATGGTACACAACTACTTATTTGTAGATTTTATATTTGGATTTCCTGCATATTTCTTCATGTCCTAAAGAAGGGGTGGGCAATTCCAGGCCCCGAGGGCCGGTGTCCTGCAGGTTTTAGATCTCACCTTGGGTCAACACACCTGAATCACATGATTAGTTCGTTACCAGCCCTCTGGAGAACTGCAGGAGCT